GCTGCTGCAGCAACCATATTATCTTTTCCTTCTCTTCTAGGCGCACCCGCATCTCGAGCGTTTGCTGCTGCAGCTGGCTGCAGCAGCAGAAGAGCAGCACAACACAAACAAACAACGCAGGTTCTTGCTGCTGCTGCTGCTGCTGTTGCTGCTGTTGCTGCTGCTGCTGCTGCTGCTGCTGGTGAGCTTACTCTACAGTTGGTTTGAGCTGCTGCAGCTCCTCTTTTGCTGCTGCTGCTGCTGCTCTTGCTTCCGCGTGCTGCGACTCTCTCTCCCTCAACACATCACCGAGGTTAGCTAGCTGCTGCTGCAGCTGCTGGGTGTCTTGCTTGTGCTGCTGCAGCAGCGTGGCGTTCTGCTGCTGCTGCAGCTGCAGCTGCACCTGTAGAGAAGCACAGCGTTCCTCGTGCTGCACATCTGCTGCAGTTGCTTGCTGCTGCTGCTGCTGCAGCTGCTGCTGCAGCTCAACCAGCAGCAGCTCCTTAGAATGTAGTGCATGCTGCTGCTGGCTAATCTCCCGCTGCTGCTGCTGCTGCTGCTGCTTCAGCAGGTGCAGCTCGTCTCTTATAGATTGTGCTTCTCCTTCGAGCTGTCTGCTGCGCTGCTCTGCTGTTGCTGCTCTGCTGCTGCTTTGCTGCTGCTGCAGCTGCAGCTGCTGCAGCTGCTGCTGCAGCCGCGTACACTCGCTGCGGAAGAAATCTGCTGTTGCTTTCTGCTCGGCTAGCTGCTGCTGCTGCTGCTGCTTCTCAGCCAGCAGCTTGCTCGTTTGCTGCTGCTCCACGCACAGCGTCGCAGCAACTTCTTGCATCTGCAGCAGCAACAGCAGCAGCAGCAGCAGCAGCAGCAGCAACAGCAGCAGCAACAGCCAAAGCAGATGAAGCAATAGCAGTACTTGCGGCAGCAGCAACAGCAACAGCAGCATATGGGGAGGCAGCATAACCAATAGCAGCAGCAACAGCAGCAGCAGCAGCAGCAGCAGCAGCAGCAACAGCAGCAGCAGCAGCAGCAGCAGCAGCAGCAACAGCAGCAGCAGCAGCAGCAGCAGGAACAGACCTGCGTAACAAAACGTTTCATTTTATCTTCTGCTTCTTCCAGGCGTTCCGCAATTCTGTTTTGCTGCTGCTGCTGCTGCTGCTGCTGCTCTGCTGCTGCTGCTGCTGCTGCTGATTGCTGCTCTGCTGCTTTCGGGTGCTTCTCTGGGGTCGAGTCCTGCCGCAGCTCCTCCAGCTGCTGCTGCAGCTGCTGCCGCTGCTGCAGCAGCTTCTCTACTGCAGCAGCAAGCTCTGTGCGGTCAGCCTGAACCTGCTGCAGCTGCTGCTGCAACTCTCGCAGCTCGTGCTGCAGCTGGAGCTGCTCCTGCTGCTGCTGCTGCTGCTGCTGCTTCTCTGCTGCGTCGCGATGCTCCGTCAGCTGCAGCAGCTGCAGCTTCAGCTTGCTGCAGCAAACCACAAACGCATGCACGCATGCATACACTTCATCAACACAGCAGCAGCAGCAAACCCAGCATCAATTGTCTTTGCTTTCGTCTGCTACAAACCAGAGGAGCTGCAGGC